AATTCTAGAGAATATGACTGAGAATAGCCACAGTTTCCTTCCTTTGCTTTCCCCTCCCAGATTTTGAAAATGGTACATCTTCCCTGGGTTCCTGGCAGGTTAAGACAGCGGTTCTTCTTTGTTAGAAGTAAGTCTACGGGGGCTACGCTCCTCATTGCTCCGTTCAATTCATACACATGAGCACAAAGGCAATAAATTTTCTGATTTCAAGCTTTTAAAAGAATGAAACTTCTAACAGAAATCTAAATGTCATCCATCAGAATCTTACTTAGACAGCAGTTTTACAGTCATTATCAATATAGATTAATTTCTTTAAGTAGAAATGCTTGGAACTGTCCTGCCTTGGAACAGGGTGTTTTCTAGTAAATACCCACAAAATCTACAAAATGTTCCAAAGTATGCAGTGCAACACTGAATTTAAAACAACCCTTTCGCTAGGATTTATTTCACCTTTTCCCCATTGTAACAAGTAAATTCCTAAATAAATAAAACTACATTTGAAGAACCTCTAGATACTCACTGCTCATCCATTACTTAGTTTGTAGGACTGCTGGGAGGTCTACTTTTTAAAATTTCTGTAATTTTTAAATGACTCATAAATAACTGGGCTTGGATTTTAGGACAACACTAGCAGTACTGTTCATTTGGCTGGATAGTGTACCCTTCTAATGATTTTTTTCATTCCTCATTTATCTTCCAGAAAACGTCCGTCACTGTCATTGTTTTTCTGCCTCCTGAATGTCCATAAAAATGCATATATTTGTGTTATCCACAAAGGACAAAACCCTTCTATTAAGTCCATTAAAATTCAAGCAAATAAAACAAATATAAATACTCCTCCATTAAAAAAATGATTATAAAGCTGTATTAATCAAGTGAATATATATACACATATATTATTCTTCCTTAATAAACTTTAACCTCCTGATAGTAAGATTTAAGTTTGAATTTGAATCCCCCACAGTGCTTTGCATAGGGCTTTGATAATAACAGAATCTTAATTTTACATGAAGCAACTGATATTCTTAAATAAGACTGACAGAATTTGAAATGCAGTAACCATTGAACTGTTTTTTTATTGAAATTCTTACCAAGTAAGTTTTTTAAAATTCAGTATTTATAATTATTTTCAATAGTATTATTTATGGTGGCAAAAAAGAGAAAATAACCACAAATGTTCAACAATTAGTAATTACCTAAGTTAATAAAGATATATCAATGTACTATATGATTATGACACTATGTGGGAAAGCATGTAAAACAAATGAAAAATATGGAACTCAAAATAACATATATTCACTTCAATCATCATGACATAAAATAAATAAGTAAACATATGTGTTTTTATGTTTATACATTCAGAAACGGCCACACAGAAATTTTAAAATTAATATTTTGATCTTAAAATATCAAATTATTTTTTCTATGTTTATATTTAAATGTATTACTCTCTAAAGGAAAGGTTTATAGATATTCTTTATTTCTTCTTCAAACATTAGTGTACTTTCCTTTGGTTGCTGCTGCTGCTGTTTGTTTTCAGTGAGCATGTATTAATTTTATAACCAGAAAAATAAAGCTATAAAACAAAGACTTCCATACATATATTAATAATTCTAAAATGAACTGTGCAAAGGAATCAGCTATATTCTTTTATTATATTCATTTAACTACAATCTGCTTAATTTGGCAAAAATTAACATTATGGGAAACTTGGTCCCTAGATGGAGATAGGGAGGGCAAGAAAACTACCTGCAATAGTTAGAGAAAGCTAAGTGAGATACTACATGTGACATACAGAGCCAGACCTGATCATAGTAGGTACTCAGAGGTGTTAATTTAGCAGGCTATATCTGCTGTGGGCTATAGATGTGCTGGAACATAGCTCCCGTTACTAACCCTACCCTTCTCAGAACTTTGACATCTCTTGTAAATTACCTACCCTTTCTCACCATCAAACTGTCCTTGATGGTGTTAGAGACAAAGAAAACACAGACATGAAGATGATCAAAAGGCCTTCAAGCAGGAATGTAATAGAGATAGGCCTATTTGTCATCTCATTAATAACAAAGGTGATTTCACGGGACTGGATAAATGGTTTCCCATTTTTTGTGCCTATCCCACCAGAGGTTAACTGTTCTCTCTTACAGTTATTGACAAATCAGGAGCTATTCTAAAGCAGTTCTTAAATAGCTGCACTTTCCTGCCAGAAAGTCCAAATAAGCACTCAAAATCCATTTGTAAGAGGGCATAGGACAGCTAAGTGCATGCAAAGATATTAAAATTAAGCTTCATAAGAACGCACTTTTCCAATTCACAATATCTGCCAAGGATCACTTCCTCTCAAGCCTTCTTCACCATTAGCATCATCAGGATCGACAGTAACAAAAACAGATTATCTTTTGTACCTTCAATGGAACAATGAGAAAGTATCCACACACTAGGAACAGACCCTTTTGGGGATTTATCTATGTAAATGTTGATGAAGAAAGAAGTATTTCCATTAGAATGTGATTAAATTAAAAAAGAGAATGTAAAGACTCTGAAACATTTCATGTACTTATATATCTGAGATATTCTGAAGTTAATAGATGGCAGCAGATTGTTGCTATTTAGGCCTCACAGTCTTTCTGCTAATTAAGAATCCTTGATTACTTAAGGGCTCCAACTTCCTGATTTTGTTTTACTAGACTAATGTGACAAATCTGTTAAAAATTTTTCACTCAGGGAAAAAAACCAACAACAAATAACTGGAGCTGTAGGGGTCTTTTGAAGTTATACTAAAGAAAACCAATGATTCCTCCAAATTCATATATCCAGAATGCAGTACACTTGATATATTTTTAGTAACATTTAGATATATAATTCACTTGGGAGAAAGAGATAAAAACAACACACTGAGAAACTCCTGTGAAGAACAAAATTTGCAGTATGGCACAGTGATGCTAATTTAACTGTTTCTAAGAAAACAGTGTTTTGTATAAACTGAATTCAATCCATGAGAATGACAAAAATACATATGTATGTGAGAAGTATAGTTAAAACCCAAACCTTTTGGTTGAAGTTTTATAGAATTGTTATGAACATTTTCTCTTAAAAAAGGTCCAAATGTAGAAAAACTTGGTAGATCTTATCATTTAAAGAAAAGTATATTAGGTACAGTTGTCATGTGATTTTTGTACCCTAACAGCTTATGTCTTATAAACACAATCATGTACAGTATAGTGCATATTCTAACTTTTTAGGCATTTTCTTATAAATCATTTTAGTTGATTGTCACAATTCTGTATTGTAAGTGTGGACAGTTTCTACCGTAAAGGAGAGGTGAAGTGACTTCTATGGATTTAAACAGTAAAGTGGTAATAAAACATTATGTTGATAAGCGTGCTTTATTATGTAGAAATATTTTAAATTATTCAAAATCCGAGATTTATAGGAAATTCCTTTAGATAACTGAATTTACTTAAGATTTTTAATGCAGAATAAAAAATTAAGGAGAGATAGAAAGTAATCTTTCCAGTTCCACCCACTAAAAAATAAGTCACTTGAATCTGTTGACTAATCTCCAGCCGACTACCACAAAGCCCCTGGGTCAGTTCACATCTCCACCTTTGTTGCTGCAGCAGCCTCTGAACTAGACTCATCACATCCAGCATTGCTGCTCTCTAACCCATACATAGCCAGGTGATCTGTCTAAACTGCAAGTCTAATATTGTCACTTCTCTGCTGAAAACTCTTCAATGGCTCCCACTTCCCTTAGAATGAATGATAAAGGACTAAATTTACAAGGTGCTCTTCAGTCTCAACTTTTAACTCAATACTCCCTCCACTCCTCCTTCCTCCCCCCCTCCCCCCAAAAAACCTCAGTTATTTGAACATGCTCTCTCTCACTTCTAGGCTTTTGTGCATTTATTTGTTTTCTCTGCCTGGAACTCTATTTCTCACATTTCCATCTGGCAACCTCTTATTTATCGTTCAGGTTTCAGCTTAAACATATCCTCAAAGGAACCTTTCTCAGTCCTTCTAGAGTAGCTAGGTGCCCGTGCAGTGTATTTCTATACTGGAACTTAAACCACAATATTATGCTCTCTTGTTTTAATTGATTGTTTCCCTCTCTGACTGTAACTACATGAGAAACAGACTGTGTTTGTCTTGCATACTATGGTCTCTCCAGGGCCCAGCACAGTGTCTGGTGATAGAAGGGGCTCCATTAACTCTTATTAATGATAAGATGAACTGATACTGATATTAATAAAAATATATTCAAAACATACAATATTTCAGTTTTAAATACCTTTAAACTGATAAGCACTGAAGACTATAAAACAATTTTTTTAATGTATCAACTCCATATATTCATTAATTTAGCTGGAATAAGGTTAAAGATGTGTTTAAAATATGCTTTACAGAAAAAGTACAATATGCTGGGTGGAGAAAAGGGATAGTATTATAAAATTCACTTACTAAAATAACTACTTGAGGAATAGTTAGTTGTGGAAATAAATGAAAAATAATCATTTGAAAAGTAAAACATTGACTAGGCTCTTTCCTGAACTAAAAAGAAACAATCTTGCTACTCTTTTGCTAATGTAATAGCACATTTCTTTCTTGATGATTTTTAATAGCTACAGAAAGCAGGGATACAGGATCTGGCCCTGAACTGATTTTCCGCTTTCAAATTCCTTTCCTTCCTTTTCAGACTCTTTACAATACAGAAAGAGAGAGAGAAAAGGAGAAATAAGAAAATAAGAGAAGAATCATTAAGAAGTACTATCAAGAAGTATTATCAAGTGCTTTTGAAAAATTCAAATCCTTCCAAAACAGCAAACTGAGGGGAAAACAACAAAACAAACAGTAACTGGCAACTCCACCGGCACTTAGCCGCAAAGAGGCTTTTAAATGTGACACTTGGTTCTTTAACAGATTTTTAAACATAGGGACAGATATAAAGTAAAAGAGAACATAACTTTTAAAAATGGAGCATATCGAATATCACTAATTACCTGTTCATAATAGTGGATATTCTCCTCAGCCATATCGGTAAATGCTGACTTGATATCATTTTGCATATTCTGTTTCCATCTTTCCCAATCCGCTTTCAGGGCATTATTAGCACATTCCACTTTATCTTCAAGTTTTCCAATCTCTTCTGTAAGCTGAATTAGGTCACAGAGAGAAATTCATCTGTGTATTATTGCCATTAGGTGAATTCATCAAATTTAAGTTGAACATTATATCAAAACAGCCTAAGAATAACTTTTTTTGAAAAGTCACCACTACGAGGGTACTTCAAAAAGTTTGTGGAAACAGAATTAACGGATAAGAATCTTTCCATGAACTTTCTGAAGGCCCCTCATATTTCTTGTGTGTGCTAGTTAAAGTAAAAAGAACAGTGGATTCAGTCAGGGCTGCTGAGTAGAATTCTAACTCTACCACGGATTAGCACTTGACGTTGGCTACATCTCTCAAACCCTGGGCTTCAGTTTCACCATTTATAAAACAAACGAAATTGAACTACAAATTATCTCAAAAGTCTTTTGTACTACGACTGTCATTACCACTATCATTTCTGGTGACAATATTTGTGTTAAAAGATATGGTTTCATTCCTTGCAGCTTCCTAGTGGTCCTCATTTTTCAATTGTTCTTAGCAGAAAGCTTAATTAACTAACATGTTATAACATCCATACATACTATCTAGTCCAACCTGAAGGGCCAGGGGATGAACTCACCAAATTCCACCCAGATAACTGGTAGCAGAGGAAGGTTTATGTCTCAGAACAACTGAATCCCAGTCCACGCTCAACTACACAGGCTTAGCAAGATATTTATACTCATCCCTACTTTGTCCACCAACCTTTGGGCATGTAATTCACTGATTTATTCTTTTCTATGTGGCATATAGATACATATTTTATGTACAGTTACCCCTCCGTATCCGTGGGTCCCACATTTGTGGTGTCAACCAACTGCAGACTGAAAATATTCAGAAAAAAAAAATTGCATCTGTACTGAACGAGTACAGACTTTTTTTTCTTATCGTTATTCTCTAAACAATACAGTATAACAACTATTTACTCAGCATCTCCTTTGTATTAGGCACTACAAGTAATTTAGAGGTAATTTAAAGTATACTGGAGATGTGCATAGGTTACATGCAAATACTACTCCATTTTATATCAGGGACTTGAGCATCCATGGATTTTGGTGTACACGGGAGGTCCTGGAACCAATCCCCCATGGATACCTAGGGAAAACTGTATTTATATTATATTTATTCATATATTCGACATATATTTACTAAGTGCCTTATCTGTACTAGCCTTTCTTCTAAGACCTGGAGATTCAGTTGTGTAGAAAACAGACAAACCCCCCTGCTTTTTTTTACGAGTGTTTATACTCAACTGGGGAGAGACGAATAAGCAAGATAAATAAAATATGAACTATAAGCTGGTAATAAATGCTAAGGAACAAAATTAAGCAGGACAGTGGTTAGGGAATGTTAGGATGTTGCAATTTTAGATAAGGTGACCAGGGAAGGCCTGAATAAGAAAGTGTCATTTGAATAAATATCTGAAGTAGATGTGAGAGTGAAGCACGGGATTCTCAGTGGGAAAAGCACTCCTAGCAGAGGAAACAAGAGCAGTGAATCACCTGGAGGTAGAAGCATGCCAGCTTGTTCAAGAAGAGCTAGGAGAGTGAGAGCGGCATGGTTGCAGCAGTGAAAAAGGAGGGAACGTCCTAGGAAATGAGGGCAGAGAGGCAGCGGGTGACCAGATCATACCGAGCCATGTAGCCCATGGTAAGGTTCTTGATTTTACTGGGTGAGATCCAAAGCCAGGAAGGAAAATTTGATCAGTATTGAAACCATCTCTCTCATGTTTTAAAAGCCAAATATTTATATGTTACTACCATTTCATGACTGAAATTACTATATTTGCAAGAGGCCATCATTTAAGAATAATTCCTACCTCAAAGATGTTAAAATGTGAAAATGTATGTCTTAGAATCAATAAAATATGTTGTTTCTGATGCTTGTTTGAATTAACTTTTTAAAAAAATAAGGAATTTCATTTCTTTGCTCTTATTTCATTGCAGCCATGTGTGCTTTTATGTCCCTAAAAACAGATATTTAGCTTTACATAAATCCTGTATTACCCATGAGAGATCTATTTCAGTAGTAACGTTAATAACTTTCATGTTTCTGTCTGTTATTTTATTTTTTTCACTTTCTTGTTTTGTTGTGGGATAGACGACATTTATCACTTAAAAAATTTTTTTTCATTTATTTAATGTTCAGATAGAAAGTTATTTTTCTCAACACACAAAAGAAGGAAAACACTACAAACTGAATTTAAAGTCCATTGATGAGTAAATTTAACACACAAAGATTAACATCTTTAATGCATGAACAACTCTTAAAAATGAATTAGAAAAATCTTAACAGAAATTTGGTGAAGGACATGAGCAGACAAGTCACACACCCAAAAGAAACACAAGTAGCTAATAAATACATTCTAAGATGTTCACAGAAATGGATACTAAAACAGAAAAATGACATTTTTCATTTCTCAAACTGAAAAAATATGATACTGTCTAAAACTGGTGCTATGAGAGAAAAAATTTCAAAATCTTCTAGTGTAAGTATAAATTGGTGAAACTTTTTTGAAGAACAGCTGGATTCACAAAAAGAAGTCTTTAAAATGTTCATACACTTTCAACCAATTATCCTACTTCTTGAAACCATAAGAAAATAATCAAAGAAAAAGAATATATTTTTTTAATGTGGAAGGCAGTTATATAAAGGTAAAAAATTGGGACTAAACTGAATGTCCAATAATATGAGAATAACTAAATAAATTGTGGACCTCCATAAAATGTAATATAATGCAATTACTAAAATGATAATTTTGAAGAGTATTTAAGGCAAATTTTCAAGTCATAATATTAAGTGAAAAAGCAGGATGAAAAACTGCACTAAAAATAACTAGGTATATTTAAACTCCAGATATACTTCCAAACAAATGACTGAAAAAATTTTATATATATATATGTTTTGCCAAAAGGGAAACTTATTTAATGTAAATGCACACATTAATAAAAAAGAAAGACCTTGGATCAACAATCACTTTTGCATCTTAGGAAACGAGAAAATGAAGAGCAAACTAAGCCCAGACCTAGCAAAGGGAGAAAATAATAAAAATTAAAGCATAGATAAAATAAATACAAAATAGAAAAAAAATAAGAGAAAATCAATGAAACTAAAAGTTGGTACTTTGACAAGATCCACGAAATTGGCAAACCTTTACCTAGATGAACTAAGAAAAAAGAAAAGACCCAAATAACTAAAATCAGAAATGAAAGAGGGATCATTATAAGCAAATTTACAGAAATCAAAAGGGTTATAAGAGAATATTACAAATAATTCTTGGTCAACAAATTAGATCATTTAGATGAAATGAATAAATACCTAGAAACATGCCACCTACCAAGACCAAACTACGAAAGTTTGAACAGAACTATGGCTGGTAAGATAAATGATTATCATTTTTTGGCTTCCTGATGCAGGATTCTCTTGAGGATTTCTTGCAAGGCTGGTCATGTGAATTCCTGAAGTTTTTGTTTTCTGGAAAATACACTATTTTTTCCCTCATTTCTGAAAGACAGGCTTGCTGAGTATAGTATTCTTGGCTAGCAGTTTTTCTTCTTTTAGTATTTTGAATATATTATCCCATTTTCCTCTGGCCTATAGAGTTTATGTTGAGAAGTCTGCTGTTAGTCTGATAGGGGCTCCTTTATAGGAGACTTGATGCATTTGCTTGCTTCTTTTAAGATTCTCTGTCTTTGAGCTTTGCCAGTTTGACTATAATGCATTTCGGGGAGAATCTTTTTGGGGTGAATCTATTTAGGGATCTTTGAATGCCATGGGTTTGAATGCCCATGTCTCTCCCTATACCTGGGAAATTTTCAGTTATTATTTTGTTGAATAGGTTTTCCACGCCTTTTCCTTTCTCCTCCCCTTCTGGAACACCCATGATTCGAATGTTTGGGCACTTAAGGTTGTCTGCTATCTCAGATTTTTTTCATTAAAAAAATTTTTTTTTCTTTTCTTTATCCTCATGTTTTATTTCTAGAAGACTGTCTTCAAGATTAGGAATTCTTTCTCATGCTTGGTCTAGCCTGCTGCTTAAGCTCTCAGTTGTTTTTTTTGTTTCAGTGAGTGAATCTTTCTGTTCCATGAGTTCTGCTACATTATTTTTTAAGGTATTAATCTCTTTGTAAGTATCCTTTTTCATATCCTGGATTTTTTTTCTCATTTCATTATGTTGTCTGAGTATTCTTGTATCTCAGTGAGTTTCCTTAAGATTGTTGCTCGGAATTCCTTTTCAGTCGTTTCAAGGGTTTCCTTCTGTATAGGGTCTGGTATTTGAGAATTACTGTATTCTTTTGGTGGTGTCATATTTTCTTGGATTTCTGTATTTCTAGTATCTCCACATTGATGTCTGGTCATCTGGTAGAGCAGCTGCTTCTTCTATTACTCTAGTAGGGATTTGAGGACAGAGACATCCTCTTCCTTTTTCTGGTCTCTACTGGTGACACTCGTTGTGTCAATGCAGTTGAGTGTCTGGCAGGCCACCTACACAGTGGCTGTGGCTACTATTGTGGCATCAAGTGGCTTCTGTGGCAGCTGTGGTGGTGGTAGTGGCTGTGATGGGCCATCCTTGTAGAAGTGGTGTTTTTGATGTGTTCCTTGCTTGCTTCCAGCCAAGAGATGCTACCCTTGGCTCTTGCCTAGGCTCCCCAGGCCTGTTCTGCTGCTTGCCTGCTTCCAGGCAGAGGGAACAGCTGCCCTCAGCTCCTGCTCTGTTGCTTGCCTGCTTCTGGGCAGAGGAGGCAGCTGCCCTCCATGTATTCTTTCAGTTAATTATTTGGCTACATCTTAGAGAACATCTCTAATGGGATGTTTACTGAATAATAATAGTAGGCTGTGGGTGGTAGGGAATAAGCAAAAGTAAAATTGTTGAAAGGCCAAACTCAAACAGGATCTGGGTCTGCTAGAAAAAGTTCAGGGACTGGTTAGGGAGCCTCACTCCTCTGGATTACTGGATAGAATCTTGCTATTTGCATACCCAGATGGAGCTTATTAACAGAATCCC